AATGAGAAACAATTAGAAGTAGGGAGAGGGGGCGGGAAGGAGGGAGAGGGGACTAGGCGATAGGAAGAAAATTCCATGATGGATTTTGAAAGCAGAGAAGGCATTTTTTGACAGATTCTGAATTGAATAGCCATGAAGGCAGGTGCTTGTGGGTGGGCAGAAAAGTGGTTTCTCCTCTTTTTATCTTTGAGAAAATATGCACAAGGTAGAGCAGCTTTCACCTGCTCTGATTTGCACTAAGGACTTAGTGCACAACTACCCTAGACTGAAGGCAGAAATTCAGCCTTTGCAGTCCCCTTGCTCTTGAGCAGGGCTGTGTGCTTGTTGGCTGCAGCCAAGGATGTGGGCAATTGACTTTTGCATTTCCTGATTCTTATTAATTTTAAAAGTGCAAAATTACCTAAGCAAGTGTTTGGTTTAATTTAAAAAACCCACACACACTACATGGTTTACATTCCAAGTCTCAACATTGGGGGGTTGCTGTGTGAAAGTGCAGCAAAAAGCATTCATAATAGGAGATCAACGAGGCCTTAAGGGAGTTTACCCATGCGGGAGGGAGGCTGGGCAACACACTGCCCCAGCCTCATGCTTACTTGGAGGACCATGGAAGGGTGCGTTTCGCACCTCCCCTGCGTACAGGCCTGATACCAAGCAACTGATTCAAGACCACCCAAATTTTACTTAGGTCTGCATGAGTTGCTTGGGGACATTTGTATTATGAGCCATCCCTGAACTTCCTGTGCCCAGGTTGATCTTTACTGCCATCCTTACACTCCCCTGATCGCATTCATGCCACAAGGTTAGCACAGCTACCAGCTCAAGCCTCTCCAAAGGAGATGGAATCACTACCTCAACCCTGCTTTCCACTGGTCAGCAGCTACAGACCAAACACAGACACAGAAAAAGAGTGGTGCAGTGCTCAGGTTCCCCCTGCTTTCTCAGGAGCAACTGGTGGAATAACGCTTGTACAAGGCACAATGCCTCGTCTCTGCCCCTGAGTTCCCTTGGGAGCAGTCATCTCTGCACACTCCCCTCAATGCCTAGTTGTGCCTGAAATGACTAATTAGACTTCTAAGGGCATTTACAAAAGTACTTAAATTTACTTTTTACAATGGAACATAATTGCTAGCATGCTTGGTCGACCATGATCCATCTTGCCCAGTATCTTGGTTCTAACAGTGCCCCTCCCACCCCCACACCAAAGCTTCTGTAAACTCCCTCTGAATTATGGAGTGATCCACCTGTCTTCCACTCCCTGCCTTTGTCAGTAAGAGTTTTAGGGTTTCCCCAAATATGGGGCTGTTTCTCTGAACATCTTGACTAATAGCCATTGATGAACTCTTTTTCAATAACTTGTCCATTTCTTTTTTAAACCCAGTTTTACCTTTTGGCCATAAGAATATCTCATGGCACTGAGTTCCATAGGTTACTTTTTCTACAGTGTACACAACCATTTCCTCTTTTTAGTGTGTGAAAAAGGGTAAATAACACTTCTCTTTTTCCATACTGTTTATCATCTAGGCTATTAAGTCACTTATATGCTTTTGGAAATTTTTACTTTGAAAATATCTACATAGAAGTTGAGCAGTGTCTTTCACACATATCTGTATAGCTAGTGTATAGAATATTGATTTATTCAACACTAATATTGTGGATAAAATGAATGACCCCCACCTGCACTAGTCTTCAAATCCTAGTTTTAAAATATTGAATATTTTCTGCTATAAATTGCTCATACTTTGCTTTTATCTAAGTATAGTGATGAATAAAGAGGTGAATAATGCTTCTCTTTTATCTCCTTGTTTTACAGGAGGAATATTTGAAACTGTGGAGAATGAACCTGTTAATGTTGAAGAATTAGCTTTCAAGTTTGCAGTCACCAACATTAACAGAAACAGAACACTGATGCCTAATACCACATTAACCTATGACATCCAGAGAATTAACCTTTTTGATAGTTTTGAAGCCTCAAGACGAGGTAATTTTCTTAATATTTTAATCAGCTTCTGTAATGTGTATGTTCTGTACAGTGTATACTTATGCAGTAGCTCAGATATTTGTAGACAAAGTATATCAGGAAAATTCAGTCTACAGCTTCACTGGTAGATATAAGTGTCTTCCAGCTTCAACTTTTATCTTATCTAGCCTTTGATAAGCTACCTACATTCTAGATAAATCCTAATACCACCAAATTGAAGACGGCAGGCCCAGCCCAATTCTTTTTTTAAAAAAATGGATTCACCACAGATTTTCTGAAGACAGTGGAAAGCAGTCTAAAGGAGAACAGAAAGATGTTGTGTTTCTTAATTAAATCACATTGATGTACATAATTCACCCCAAATTAATTCCAAGCTACTACAAAGCAAAGGGTGAATGAAGAGGTTATCCTGCAATGTTAGCGCTTTGAGTAAAAGCAGATGGGTTGCTCTGTTCTAATAATATATAACAACTGAGCTTGAAAAAGTAAGAAATATATATACTCATCCATTTATTTTCCCTGAATGGAAGACAAATGTCTGACATCTCATCTAACATACATGCAGACTAAAAGGCAAAAACTCATTTGGGACTGTCACTTGTTTCCTTAGACACAGCCTAATCATTCACTACTAGAAGACATCCCTAAAGTATGCTAAGAGTCCATAGACTGTAATTTTGTTCCCTAAATTAAGACACTGTCATAAAATTTGATGGAAACAAGCCTAGAAAAAAAAAGCCATAAATCACCAAGGATTCTGAGGATGTACTTTGCAATTCATTCATTAAAACAAAATGGATTACTGTAAAAGCAAATGCAGAAGATATGTTTGCTAAAGGACAAGCTCAGGATTATTGAAATAGATATGTGGACCCACATCATGAAGCTTGTTGGGAACACTGACTTGCTGTCACCTTTCAGATGTTCAAATTATTAGTAATTTGTCTTAGAGCACTCAATGCAATATATTATTCAACTAGAAAAATACCCTGAACTGCTTCAAACAAAATAATCCCCCTGTAAGACAGTTCTTTGTAGTTTTTCCTGTTAATTTGCCTTTCAAATATCATTTATTGACTTAAGCATACAACATAGGTCATGATAGGGCTAAATAAAAGTTTAGATTCCATTGAAAGATCCTGCACTGTGGCTATTGAAAACTAAATCTAATCAGAAAATCATAAATATTGTTACACTCATATTCCAAAACACACAAAATAAAATAGAAGTGTTAACTTTCTGTCCTTAAAGTACTTACAGCATCTTTATGATTTGGACATCAATACCCATAATTCTCTGAGGTTATGTCTACACAGCAGCATTATTTTGGGATAATTGACCTTATTCAGAAATAACAAAGACCGTGTCTACACTACAAGCCTTTATTTCCAAATATTGTTGAGCTAGAGGATTTTTACTCCAACTCCTGTAACCATCATTTCACGAGAAGCAAGGGAAGTCAAAGGAAGATTGTTCTTCCTTCGACTTCCTGCTGTGTAGACATTGCTAAAAGCTAAAATAAGCTATTTTGACTTCAGCTATGCAATTGATGTAGATCAAGTTGCATAGCTTAATTCAACTTTTGCCCTGCTGTGTAGACATGCCCAGAGGTGGCTTGCAAATTAACCCTTGGAAAGCCACTGGTGTACACAGTGCTCATTTGTAAACTCAGAAAAGAAAAAGTTGTTGATTTTCTGTCACAATGGACTATTTCCATAGCTAAATATTAGCAGAGAAGAGCTCAGCTCACTGTAGGTGTTTGGATAATTTAATTATTTCAAGTCATTGCAGGAATTGCAGCATTTCCAACAAAGAATCAGATCACTCAAGGCTACATGGAATAGTTTCACCCTAGTTCATGAGGATAGATATATCTGCAGCTAGATTTCTATCACCTATACAAGAGCCTTGAATTTTGTTGCATTATAAAATGATTAGCCCAAGGACAAGAGGAGAGGTGTAGGGCAAAATGGGGATGGGTTTTTCTAGTTTACTGTTAGAAATAGTTTACATTACGGTGATTGGAATAAAAGGTATCCACTTTGATAAAATTATTCTGGAAATAAAACCTATTTTTTTTCTTATGATATCACTGGCCTGGGCCTGCTCTTATTAATTTCAGTGGGACCTCTGCTGTTGACCCCACTTGGAACAAGATCAGGTCGAATATGCATTACATTATTTTTAAATTTAAAATTACTTAATTACTAGGAACTGATATTTGTTTGACATTAAAAAAAACAAATATAACAATGTGCAGTGAAACTTCATTTCCCACTTTACTGGTTCATGTCCCTTAGTAGTAAACAGAGGAATATAACAATGTGCAGTGAAACTTCGTTTCCCACTTTACTGGTAGTAAGGTTCATGTCCCTTAGTAGTAAACAGAGAGAAACAGACCCCAGGAATCACAATGCTCTTGCCTCTTTATAAGTCTTTGGCTTGAAATAAACAAACTAACTCATTTTGATAGCAGTTTGTCCATCCTCTAGGGAACCTCTATATTGTCCACTGCAACTAAATGAATCTGTCTATTGTCACTCTGCCATGAAACTTAATTCACATGACATTCATTTGACATATAGGTTGTCAGAATAGCTCTAGGTTTCTCCAGGATAACACCCCACTGAGGGATTTCATTTCAGTCTGATTAAAGGTAATGAAGTGAAACAGTCATCTAATTTTTATTTGCAGTGAGCTGATTCTGCAATACACTCCTAATTAGTTGTGCAATGTAGAGTATCTATAATGCAGGTGCCTTGGGAGCCTGATCAATTCTCAAAAGCATGCCCTTCAACACATGAAATGTACTACCAAACCCAAAATAAAACAAAATGCATCATATTCCCTGGCTTTGCAGCCCATTTACAGCTCTTCCCCTCTCTTTTTCAGCATGTGACCAGCTTGCACTTGGGGTAGCTGCACTGTTTGGACCATCCCACAGTTCCTCAGTCAGTGCAGTGCAGTCTATTTGCAATGCTCTTGAAGTTCCACATATACAGACCCGATGGAAGCACCCTACAGTGGATAACAAAGATGCATTTTATATCAACCTCTACCCAGACTATGCAGCGATCAGCAGGGCCATTTTGGATTTGGTACTCTATTATAACTGGAAAATCGTGACAGTAGTATACGAGGACAGTACAGGTAGGTAAACATTGGGGGCATGATTATATATAAAGATATTTTATTTCATGAAAACTGAATATTTTTAAATATTTGAAAGAGACTGGATTTGCAGTTGATGCTGATTATCAGTCCATTCAGACAATGCTGGCAGCTGTGAGCCACCAGGTTGGCAAAATCTAAAACCATGCTGCTGTGTAACAGCCATATTTTAAGCAGTACCATTACCCTAACTAATGCAGAAAAAAATTCAGTCACTAAGAATCAGGCTAGCCAAATAGCATCCCCTCTGGTAGCCTACAGAATCATTTAAAACACGTTTCTCAGAAAAAGGCCTTGTTAATGCATCAGTCAGTGACATGATGCCATAGCCTTGCTTGCAGTAAATGTTTGGTTATCATTGTTAGGTATTGTCTAAACCAGGGGTTTTCAAACTCTGGGTTGTAGCTTGTAAGGGAAAGCTGCTAGCTGGCTGAGAGACGCTTTGTTTACCTGCGCCTACGCAGGTACAAGCGATCGCAGCTCTCATTGGCTATGGATTGCTGTTCCTGGCCAATAGGAGCTGTGGGAAGTGGCACTGACTGGGACACATTTCTTCCTGCAGCTCCCATTGACCAGCAATGGTGGTCTGTGGCCAATAGGAGCTGTGATTCCCCTTACCTGCAGAGGAGCAGGTAAACCAAGTGTCTTGCAGCCAGCTAGCAGCTTGTCCTTAACAAGCCACAACCCAGAGTTTGGAAACTCCTTGTTTAAACCACAGCATAGACATGGTCTTGAAGTTTAGGGTTTGTAGCTCACCTGTTACAGGAAAAATGTTATATGCAACATATAATTTAGAGTTTCCACCTGTTGCAGGGAAAAGGTTATATGCAACATATAATTTAGAGTTTATAGAATTGCAAACAGTCAGAGACTCAGAAAAAAAAATGAGGAGTAACGTTAGTTCGAACCAAAGGGTTTGATTTGAAATAACATGGCCCAGAGCGCACTTCCTGGTTTGAAACAGCTGAGCGCCGAAACAGCGCAGGGGCGAAATTATGCTAATGAAGCGCGGGATATTTAAATCCCCACGTCATTAGCGATTTCGGTCACCTATATTTGCATCCCTAGTTCAAATTAGGGTGCAAGTGTAGACGTACCGATAGGCTGAAGTTATATAGCCTCAACTTCCAACAGCTAGTTGAATATAATCCCATTATAAAGTTCTAATTCAGTCAAAAACCTCTAAGTTACACTAAATTGAGAGCTTTGGTTAAGAAAATGCTTCAGGGCAGAATCTACTACCAATACTAGTGATATAAAGGGATAGCTGGTGATGCTAACTGGTAACCAGTTAACCAGCATCGCAGCTAGGCTGGAGCAGCCCTCTACTTGCGGTGTGTTGCAGTGGGTCCAGACTGGCTGGAGCAGCCCTCCACCTATGGCGTGGAATGATATGCCAGACCTGGATAGAGAGGCATGCGGAATGGCTAGGGGCTGCTCCATAGTTAACTGGTTACACATAGGCTACATCTAGACTGCAACCTCTTTCGAAAAAGAGCATCTAGACTACAGTCAGTACTTTTGAAAAAAGCAAGCCACTTTTTTGAAAGAGAGCCCCCAGGCAGACTGGATGTTCTCTTTTGAAAAAGTACAATTTGCATTACATAGCGCCTTTTTTCGAAAGAGCACTTTCGAAAAAAGGCATTCTTCCTCATAAAATGAGGTTTTCCACAGTCGAAAAAACTGCTGCATTCTTTCGATTTACTTTCAAAAGAACGCGGCAGCAGTCTAGACACAGGGGAAGGTTTTTTGAAAAAAGGCCACTTTTTTTCGAAAAAAACCCTGTAGTCTAAACACCCCCCCAGTGTTTAACTAGTTAACATTTTAAATGACAGTTTACATCCCTAACCAATACCCAGGGAACACTGAATACCTCTCCCTTTCTTTATGGAATTCATGGAAACTGTGTCTTATATCCACAGCTAGAGGAGGATGGAAGGTTTAGCAACACAAGCCATGCTACCCCAGGGGCCAAAGTATTAGGATTACAGTTTCAGGGTAGTATTTTTAAAAAGTGCTCTATCTTAGCTTAACTCCAGTATCAATGGCACAGCTATGCTAGGGCTTCATCTTCATTGTCAGAAATGAGCTCTTTAATAGTGGGATTGCTAATGAGGGATGGCTACCACTTTAAAATTGTAATGTGGACAGGGGACTATATTGTGAGGTAAACTAGGTGACATCAGCCATAGGTGGATGTATAGTGTTGACTTCACCTAGTTTACCTCAGTAAAACTACACTGCCTTGTTCCAAATAGGATTGTTACAGTGGGATAATTAAAAAGATTTTTTAAACAGTGAAGACATAGCCTAATATTATGCATTTTTTAAACTCCCACCATTTATCTGCATACATAGACTCCTCCCCAATGTTGATCACATGACTGATTTTTTCTTCTTTTCCTATTGTCTATTGAGTTTCTATGGAACGATAAGGGGGTTACCGACTTAGTCTGTACAGGATAAATTAAATAAAACAACAAATGGTTTGGTAGCACTTTATGGCTGTGTCTAGACTGACCAGTTTTTCCGGAAAATCAGCTGCTTTTCCAGAAAAACTTGCCAGCTGTCTACACTGGCCACTTGAATTTCCACAAAAACTCTGACTTCCTACTGTAAGAAATCAGTGTTTCTTGCGGAAATACTATTCTGCTCCTGTTCAGGCAAAAGTCCCTTTTGCGCAAAAGGGCCAGTGTAGACAGCTCAGATTTGTTTTCCGCAAAAAAGCCCCGATCGCGAAAATGGTGATCGGGGCTCTTTTGCGGAAAAGCGTGTCTAGATTGGCACGGACGCTTTTCCGCAAAAAGTGCTTTGTGAAAAAGCGTCCAGGCCAATCTAGATGCTCTGTTCCGAAAATGCTTTTAACGGAAAACTTTTCTGTTAAAAGCATTTCCGGAAAATCATGCCAATCTAAACGCAGCCAAAATGTTTTGTTATTCTATAAAGTGTTACCAGACCATTTGTTGGTTTTTTAAATTTATCATGGAAAGATAGTGAGGCTTTGATGCCCCTATATAGGCATTCAACTGGAGTCTAGATAGATCCACTGATACTTGTGTATCCACCCTTATTCTGTACAATCTAAATTATTGACCACAGTCTTTAAATAAGATGTTCAAAACCGAAACTTTCTATTAGAAAATGTATGTCATAAAATATGTCATGAACTCAGAATTCCTGCTAACCACATTTGGAGTTTTAAGAACAATACTTTTATTTTGATTTCCATACCACTGATGTCAGTACAAAGTAGAGATGTAAGAGTGTAGCTGTTTAAACAGGTTACTTATAAGCATGATTTTATCTGTTACCCAAATGGCTACATGCAGCTTCTGGTCCATATCCTGGGGAGCTGCCTGCCACCCTGTGTTGATACATCTGATACATGGCAGATCTCAACATTGCTCTTCCTGTACTTACAGAATTTACCAGATTGGTGGAGGTACACAAAAGGGAAAAACAGACTGGGTTTACTGTAGTGATCATTTTCATTCCCAGTAAGTTTATTCTAGCTCAGCAGCATTTTCACAGGACAGGATGCCAAAATATATTTATGGATAAATTAATGTAAATTTATGTTTCAATCTAGCAATATATTATCCAATTAGCATTAAAAACATTTAAGTGTTGCTTGCTTACATTCCAGAGATGATTAATGTTAAGAGATTTCATCTGCAAAGATATTTACAATGTAAATGAATAATCAATCGAGACATTAAATGGGAGTTGGCAGAGCAAAAACAAGTCAAGTATGATCAATAAAAGATGCTGCCTTTGGATTCTGAGTGGGAATAATATTGCTTGGCTCAGGGGTGGGTGTTAAAATGACTACCACTATAAAAAGAAAAACTTCTTAAACCAGCAGGAAAATAGCAAACCTCATTTCTTTTTAGAAATTAAGTGTACATTAAGAACATTTTTCTTCTTCTATTACATTTGCACTTACTATTGTGCTAGATCAGAGGTAGGCAATAACCAGCTTGCAGGCCATACGCAATTGACCAGAGATAGCCCCAGTTATCTCGTGGACCAGCCCACACCTCTTCCTGCAACTCCCATTGGCCAGGAATGGAGAACTGTGGCCAAAGGGAGCTGCAAGCGGCCATACCTGCAGATGCTCAGGTAAATAAAGCACCTGGCAACCCATCAGCAGTGAACCCTGGCAAACTACACTTATTGCCCACTCTGGTCTGAAGAGCTTATAGCAGAGGTGGGAAGTAATTTTTGGTGGGGGGCCACTCCAAGGTTTTGGTAAGTGGTCTAGGGCCACACTTCTCTGTGGAGGGAGTACAGAGTCTAGGTTGGCAGTTGGCTGCAGAAGGGCACATGAGGTAAGGTATTGGGGTGCAGGAAACGGTGCGGGGTCTGAGAGGGTGTTTGGATGGAGGAGGGGGTTGTGACCTGGGTCAGGGGATTGGGGTGGTAGGGTCAGGGAGGGAGTATGGATGCAGGAGAGGATTCTGGTCTGGGGAAGGGATGTAGGAGGGGCACAGGGTCTCGAAGGGAGTTGTCACCTGGGGTAGGGAGTGCAGAGGGTGTGGATAGTGATCTGGGGGAGGGAGTTGGTTGTAGGAGGGGTTGGGGTGCCAGAAGCAAGCACTGGCTAGGAGGAGTTTACCTAAATATCTCCTGGCCAGCAGGCTGCAGCACCCCCAAGGCAGGCTGAGCTCCTTGCCTGCTGCAGCACCAGCCTGCTTGCAAAAGCAATCTGCTCCTGCCACGCGGCTCTCAGCTTCAGGTGGGGGAAGAGGCTGGCGCTGCCCCAGTCTCTCAGGCCAATTTCTCAGATCCGAAAGGGATCTAGGGGTTATAGTGGACCACAAGCTAAATATGAGTCAGCAGTGTGATGCTGTTGCAAAAAAAGCAAACATGATTCTGGGATGCATTAACAGGTGTGTTGTGAGCAAGACAAAATTAAGTGTACATTAAGAACATTTTTCTTCTTCTATTACATTTGCACTTACTATTGTGCTAGATCA